CACTAAGAGACAAGTAAGTGCTAGTAAAGCGGGAGAAGGAATAACAACCAGAAAGGTGCTCCGGTTTGAATATCCTAACCAGAAGTCTGTCGTTACTTAAACAAGTAAGACTAGCTAAATTGGAACGTATAATCTCAGCCTAGATTTTACTAAAATCTGGAGAGAATTAGATTTAATTTTCAGCTGAATATATTTCTTTACGACATATATTTCTAATTCCACTTTGATGCCGTCTAACCGGATACATTGTCACCTTGTAGGGTTTGAAGAAAATATGTACCAACAGAAGGGGGTGTACGCTCTACCCTAACATAATAACTACCATTTGATTGAAATGACAGGTTCTGTAAATGCATTAAAGAGACCCGTTTTTAAAATGGTTTTGAATAAACAAGGATTCAACAGACATAAATATATATAATGAAATATTAAAAAAGTATTTCAAGAAGCGATGTAATAATTCTTTTTTGTCAGGCAAAAAACTTTTTCACTGGGTGGGGTCTGGAAATACGCGTAATATTGGGAAAAAAAGAGCCACGAATTCATACACAAAAAAAAAACTTGATGTTAAGAAAGAAATCCTACGGTTTAATTTATTTAGTTAGTTAACTTCGGCACAACGCTACTGTAATGGGGCATCTGCTCACCATTAAACTCACTATAATAGACGAATTTGCTGATAGCCACATTGTTTTATTAATCAGTTGCAAAGATGCGTCGTGGAATTTCTAACTTTTTCCCTTCGTAAATCTGGTACATGTCAGCTCTGTCAATGGTTATAGCAGCTTTTGTATGTTGCTGCTTGAGGAGGTAATATCAACGTAAGAGAATAATGATCGACTAGAATTTGATTAAGAATCACAATTATTTTCTCTTTTATTCTCACAAGATTTCTGCTTTACTATGTCTAATAGCTTGAGCCGTTAATTTCGTCACTTTTATATTCATGTTCGTCCCTCGTCTATATTGAAGCTTGCAACAAGTAATAAAATGTTGACTTGGTGCGTATGTGACTTGCAAGAAATTATTGCAAATTCGCTTTCTTATGATTACTTACTCATCGGATTGTCGTTTATAGTCGAGTCAGTGGTGACGTACTCAATCACAGACAGGTTTTGCATAGATATAGTTGTGAATGGAAGTTCGGGCTTCTTCCTTAGATTGGACGGACGATAATAAAAGTCCACAGTGATTTGGTCGAAACTCGTAAAAGATGTTATCTACGACAGAGCCAAACATATTTAAAGTATAAAATATCGTAAATTTTACTCGCAAAAAATGTTTTGTTTACAATTTGACTTGAAGCAAACTAATAAGATTGTTATTATTATTAGAAAGTGAAATGGAGGAGGGAAATATATAAAGCGGGATAGATAGGAAATAAGTGTGATAAAAAGAGGAAGGGAGTGAGAGATTGGGAGGAGAAAGAAAGAGAGAATGAAGTAGAGAGAAGGCAGGAGCGGACGGAGGTAGAAAAAAGAGAGAGAGAGAGAAAACGAGAAAGAAATGGAACAAAAGAATCGTAAAACATCGCTAAGAGCAAAAAAAAATTCTTTTAGCTCAAATAGAAAAAAAAACAAAAACATTCTATTTGTGAAACGAAAAAATCTGACCGCTGTTGTTTAAAATGGAGAGTCAAGCGAATGCCATTAGATTTGAGAATTAATATTCTGAAATTTAGACATATCTATATTTGCTAAAATCGCTGTTATTGATATGAGATAAAAAAAAAAACAAAGATGAATTAAGAACAAAAATACAAATGTGAGAAATTAAAGGAAAATAATAATAATAATGAAGTTACGAGGGTCTTACATTTTTTAATCCTTTAATTTCAAGAAAGGCGATAAAGCCGCTAAGACTCAAGTATTTACTGATGTTGAAAGAAAATAGAGTGAAAGAAACTGGGAAAACGTTGGCTGAAGAGGAGGAGAAAGAAAAAGACAAAGAACTGGATTCAAGGAGACAAAAGAATAACAATGGACAAGGCATTGACATTTTTGTAGATTGCAGTTGACAGGAAAGCAAGAAGCAGGAAGAGAGATTTATAGGCGAGAATTGCAAGAGAAGAAACTATCAGAATAGAACTGGCGGTTACATCCAGGGGCCGGTGCAAGAGTTTTGCGTTCCTCCCCATTGAATTTAGTAAAGATTCAGTGGAAAGTCAGGCAAAAATCATCCAGATGAGTCAAGTGTAGCATTCAAAGAGAATTCACGAGTAAAACATTCAACAGGTGATAACTCTTCAAATTGTGTAAAAAGAAAAAAAAAAGGCTGAATTCAAAACCTTGTTAAGTGAATCTCTACAAAGGCATGTTATGCACAAGATACAAAGACAATGTCTGTAAAAAATGATGATGATGATGATGATGATGATGGTTGTCACTCATTGCAGAAGAAGAACATCTCTTCACTTGGTAGGGGGTGTATTTTACATTTAGAATTTTATTATTTCTATCGATTATATCTAAGCTAACGCGCTGCTACGAGTCCGTAAATTTACATGTGTTACCTATGTTGGAAACTTGCTTGACCATGTGTACAATCATGTGATGTTTGTGTCCCACAACAAACTTACGAACCTTGTCACAAGACACGTACAAGTAACCTAAAGGTTTTTTCTGGTAGGGTTGCATTCACATGAGTTTGCATTTGCATTCTCTCTCTCTCTCTCTCTCTCTCTCTCTCTCACACACACACACACACACACACACACACACACATATATATATATATATATATATATATATATATATATATATATATATAATTGTTTATTTTGTACCTGTACTATAAGACTGGCGGTGTAAAAAACACAGATGATGCAAGGTGGAAATAAAAAATATTATACAAACTGATATCTGGGAAAAAATTCAATAAAGAAAAGACTAAAAATATCCGTACTGCTTCCAAATAATCTACTAGCACCACAATGTCTAACCAAAAGCCATATATATATATATATATATATATATATATATATATATATATATATATATATATATATCTTCTTCACTGAACATGTTTCATTGAATAATATATACATATTGTATCTACTTATTTTTATACAGATTCTTTCTAGTTGTCTAATCAGTTTCTTGGTGTTAAGATGAATTTCATCCTGGAAGGTGTCAATGTTTTTTTTACCCGAAAACACCAATATACTACACCACAAAAATAAATAAACACTTCAAATACTCTAGGCCCTCTATATCAAAATTCACCAACACTCCAGTACTTTCGACCTTTCCTACGATCATCTTCAGGGGTAAATTACAATGACAAACACGCTACTGCAACTTCGATAAAATCTGCGTTCCTTTGTCATAGTGATAAAAATAAATACCAATATCCAATACATCTATCCAGGTCTGTGGGCCTGCAGCTACACATGTTAGCTACGTTCCATCACTAAAAACGTCTTGAACTGTTACGTGGGTATCCGTGCGGGAAATTGTATCAGTGGAAGATTGTTGTCCAGTCTCATCTCTCACTTGCTTCTGAATAAATTGGATGGTAGGTGATACATGATTTGTTTTCTTGGGAAGCAATGGCGCTAAGATATATAAACAGGTAAAGGCATAGGTTTGAAACGTTCTGCTTATCACTCATATAGAAGGTACTTTGTAGCGTATCACGTGCCTAAATATAATGGAAGAACAGGTACACGCATTCATTTCAAAATTCTTCGCCGATAGCAGTGCTATTTTTCCGTAGAGCAGTGCGTCCTCATACACTATGAATTGTTCAGAAATGTCTTCAGAATATGTGTCGATCTGTCTATCATTCCCTCCAGATCTAAATCCCATTAAGCACATATGAAAGAGACTAAAAAATTCTCGTGAAACCTCAACAAGTAAAATGATCTGTTGCTAACACCGTTTCCCGAAAACTTACAAGAATTCATTAGAATTTCTTTAGGATCTAAGCTTTATTGATTAAGATATTTTTGGGGGGTATTTGCTTTTTGTGCTTCACCTTTTTAGCCATAAGACTTTTGTTTATACAAACATAAAGAGATCGAAAATATATAATGTGAATAAAAAGCTTTTCATTTAAGTGTCTGCCTTCGTAGTTGTTTTAATGGTTCTATTTTTTCGGTCAGTAAATTTTTCAACTGTTTTCCCATTTAGTGCTTGGCGTTTTCAGTTTGAAATCCCAACGCCAAATCATACATTTTTGCCACGGAAGTACACCCGAAAATATCTGATAATATTTTACTAAATATATAAAAAACTTTTCTATATAAATTATGGACGACTCTCATATCTACTATACTGTTGTAGCATACCTACGGACGATAATGGGTATGTCCCCATTCACATAAATACAGTAGTAAATACTGTATGTTGGTCTGCAGTTGGAGATTCGTCTACAGCTATGCTGGTTAAACTCTCTGTCGAAGGGAAGAGTCTCGTCTCGAGAAACAGTTACTCGACCTCGTTTTATACGGACTCGGATACACCACATTAAATTCGGCCTTGTACCACATTTGGCCGCGTGGGGCTGTTGATAGATATCCTGCAGATGGAGATTCGTCATCAGCTGTGCTGGTCAAACTCTCTGCCTCCGGGCACAGAGGATCCCCAGACGTGGCTATATCAAAGGTCAGAGTCTCGTCTCGGGAAACAGCGACTCAACCCCGTTTTATTTTTGGCCGAGCCTACGGGCTCGGATACCCCATATTAAAGTTGGCATTGTCCCACATTTAGCCACGTGGGGAGGTTGGTAGATATTCATTTTGGAATTCATTTGACTCACTTCTAGCAGTTGACTACTACTTCTAGTCGCCGCTGGCGAATCTTATATGTCTTGTTCTTGCCTTAAGTATTACCCTACATTACCAATCTTCGTTTTATTATTCTATTCAGTCACCTTCTCCAGGTTGCAACATATATACATCAGTATATAGGAATTTAATTAAATATATACATGTATGTTTTAAATTGATTGAAACGTTAAAATTCTTTTAAAAGAAACTGAAAATTAAAGCAACTGGATTAAATGTTGAGGTAGATTGTTATGCAGAAGGAAACGAAAGGGAGGTAGGCTAAGAGATAGCGAGAACGAGAGAGGAAGAGAGAGAACGAGAGAGAGAGAGTGAAAAAGAGAAATATACATGAAATAAGTAGAGAGAGAACGACAGAGAGAGGGAGAGAGAAGAGAGAAAGAGAACAAGAGAGAGAGAAAGGGAGAGAGAGAGAGTGAAAAAGAGAAAGATACATGAAATAAGTAGAGAGGGAACGACAGAGAGAGGGAGAGAGAAGAGAGAAAGAGAACAAGAGAGAGATAGAGAGAGGGAGAGAGAGAAAAGGAGAGAGAGAGAGAGAGAGATTTTTTATCAGAGTAAAATACTTTACCAAAACAGAACCAACGCACGGTCCTCGTATGATCCAGAACAGTTTACGATTCTCATGCGTATTCCAGCAACTGAAAATATAAAGCAGAAATATACGTCAAAATGGATGTGGCAATAGAATCGAAGATACATCAAATAAGTACGTATCAGATCGCGGACTTATTGATCCATCCACGTTGAGTTTCGTAACAAGCATTAAAAGACATTTTCGTGCAAGTGTTGAAGTGTTAAGTAAATATTCAAGCTATATCAATAATTTTGTTGCTTAACCACGAAAAATCGATTATTAAAGAATTAAGTTTTCCATTATGTAAATTTCATCGCATTATCACTAATGAACACACCAACAAAACACCATAGAAAATTCGACAAATCCTCCTCAATAAAAAATACTGACTGCAACAAAACGATTACAAATGCTAGAAGAAGAAAAACAAACAAACCAACAAATAACAGAATATCAATCAGATATTTTGAAAGTTTAGAACAAACAGAATTAATATATTCCCTTGATAAAAAAAAAAAATGGATTGTCACGTGAAGACGTAAAGAAGAGTTATTTGAAAATGATGAAACTAACAGAGTGTACAAAGTTTATCCACAACAAACCCGACACCTACTGTCAAAAATTTCGGTCTCTCTACCTGCGGGACTTATTAACCTCATTGGAGACATAATGTATAAATTGAAATCAGGACAAACTTTTTTTTGTGAATACCATTTTACCTGTTCGTCAAAAAATGTAATATATGCTATTAAATGTAAAAGATGTAAAGAAGATTAAATCGGAAAAAAACAGGATCACTGTCAGAAACAGGACGACAATTCATCGCAAACAGAAACGAGACCACAAGAAAAATACCAATCCGTGGACATCTAGACTTATGTGCAACAAATAAGTTCCACAAATTCCAAATTTTCATCCTTTATATTTGCCCAGCACAGATCAAAAGGAAAAGCAAATTGGAACAAACTATAACCAGGGACATTTACCAAGGACTATTTACACACACGCACAACACACACACACACACACACACACACACACACACACACACACACACACACACACACACACATACATACATGGAATGTCATTGTTCTTTTTATGAATGCAATCATCATTATTATTATTAAGATTATTACCATTATTATTAAAACTATTAAATGCTATCCCATCCTCACACACGCTCAAATAAGAATTCTTGTTTGCCTGGCTACTTACTGGGCACTATCACATTTATACATAGAGACTCATATACAATTCTTGTTTCATTTGCTATCATCAATTATAATCATTATTCTTGTTTCTTCTTAATGTCACATTATTCTTCACATTCCAATAAAGTAAGAAACACTAAATCTATTTTTATACGCACACACACACATACACACAGACACACTCACACAAACAGAGACACACTCACACACACACAGACATATAATACTTGTAGAATGAACATTTTGGAATTGTCACGAAGATCCGATACATTTCAATTGCTTACACTTGAACTACTTAACACTTTGTGGCCCTGAACTTCTTAAGATTTTATTATCATTAGCTACGCTGAATTATGACATTCACAAATTTTGACAACAAAATCTTATAATGGATCATTTTTGGGTGCAAAATCTACTATGCCTGATCACGTGATCATAGTCAACCAATCAGGTTGAATTTTAAATATACACCAATCGGGGCCATCCTTTTTTCTGCATGAAACGGAAAGTATTCTTCAACTCCAATGGGAAAAGATCATGGCAAAGCCAGGCGTCTCTCCATCTAAATTTAACTTTTGAAAATCATAGAAATGTGAAACCGATAAGTTACTCTAAATAAATATTCTTAAAAACTCCAGTTGCATTTTCAACTTCTTTTCTCTATATATCTTTACTTGTGAGGTGTATATATATATATATATATATATATATATATATATATATATATATACATACGTGTGTGTGTGTTAGAGTGCGAGAAAGAGAGAAAGCGGGTAAGTCAAACAAAATATGATTCATATTAGACATGAATGTGATTTTGACTTTAGAAATTAGATTTTAAGTCATTTCAACATTTTTATTTTATTCATATATTAATGAATAGCTAAATAAAAAACAAAACAAAAACGAACTATATAGAGTGTGTGAGTATTCACTCACACACTCTATATAGTTCGTTTTTGAAATATATCGAATAATACTGATAATAATAATATCCCAATAAATTTAAGAAATTCATTGGGAATTTCATGGGATTTAGTTACTACTTGATTACTCGGGCTTCTTCGGACATAAAAGAGGAATCATGCCTATCCATAAAAAGTGCCTCGTCAACATACACGAGTGAATTACTTAAGTTTACATTATCGCTCTTTTCTATTTCCTACTTGGGATGAGATGATTATATCAAATGTTTACAGCAATATTATTATTTATTTGTAATAAGCCATAAAATTTTTTCCCACGTGCTAATCGATTATTAAATTGCTTCAAGAATTATTCTTTAATCATTTTATGATTTAAACTTTCAAAATGGATCTTGTTCTTAATTTTTGGTTGTCTTCCCCAAAGTGAGATTCTAAATATAGAAATAAATTGGCCCCTGGAAAGTTGATAAAGTGTCACATACATTTTTTTATTGTTATTAGTGCTTGGCCAAATAATATATGTATGAGAATGTGGTTTAGCCAATATTCATTTACTCACTCGCCTCCCCGTCAATAATCGTGACATGCCAGTAACGAGAAGCTTTTGTCTATATATTTTTCGATGGAACAAAGCACGCTTATATGAATTCCTGTATACGTAAATGTAGGCAAACCCATCCGACTGACAATATGCATTACTGCCTTTCACAGGGGCACGAGTGGTGAACAGCCTCAATCTATATTCGAACTCGGTTTATCGATTCCCTGATGGTAACCCCCCTATGATAACTAGTAAGATTCAGAAAGAAAGATTAAAGATTAAAAGATTAATAAAGTAAGATAAACTCTCATGTCATTGATAGAGATAGGATGGATTCTCACAGTAAAATCTGGAGGTGTTAATATGTTTTGCCCGTATTTCTCTTTGAGTTTATGGGGGTAATTCCTATAATCGAAGTAATCATGAATGGAACTATATATTGGTCTATTTTGGAAGAGAATTTGTTATCTTCGGCGTAAAAGATATCGCTGAAAGAGATTCAACTTTTTCAACAGGAAAAAAACCTCTCGAAGCACACGGTTAAAAAATGGATTTTCTACTTCTCTATAAAAGGACTTCAGTAGCCTACTCAGTCTTTTGAACTGAATCTATTTGAAAATTTATGGCAAAGATAGATCAATTTCAGGCGATATCTCGAAATATCAATGAGTGACATTTGTTTGAAAGAGTAGATTAAACTTTCTAAAAAATATTGCAAAAAACGAGTAAAGGCTTACAAAAATATCATTAAGCAATAATTGCTAACAAAGTCTATGCAATTAATCATTAAAATATGAAATTAATGTCTTGAAATAATATTTTCCTACGTTATCTTTGTTAAAATTTTATTATATTTTTATTTTAACTTTTAAAATATATACTTTTCTTTTTTTTTAAATTATATATAAAAATACATAAACATAAGTTATTGGAATCACCGGAAGTATACTGCTTTCCTCCTATTTTTTCATTTTCTTGCCCTATCTCTTTCTCTCAACCCCTCCCCATATATATATATATATATATATATATATATATATATATATATATATATATATAAAAAATGTCTCAATGATTAGATATTTTCACACAAGTTCACTTATAGAAAGCACCGCGTAGAATCCATACACTGTCGCGAAACCGCTATTATTCAAGCAAAAGAAAAAGGTACACATTATTAATTGCTGCACCTATATCACACATCACACACACATAAATAAATATATGTATGTATGTATGTATAAGGTATTATTTAAATGTCAAAGACGTAATATGTAAAGTATAAGGCGTACTTGCAATAATAATGACAGGCATATTGTTAATTAATATATAATATTTTATTCTTCTTGGACATGGTAGAGCTATAACGAGTAAACATTGAATAATAAAAAAAATCAATGACTTTATATAATTATATGATGTCGTCTATAATTAAAAAGAGGCTATCACTTTAGATTCTACAGAAAATTAATTTTCATAGCATATGATTTTTTTTAGTCGAATATGACACAAACGAAATGTGGATGTTAACAGGTGAAATACCTGATACAGGTGAATATTATCAGGTAATGATATAAACATTACCTGACAATATTCGTTTTGTTTATGTAATGTTGCATAAGAAATAATAAAATCCTGTTATGTTTGGTGTAGAAAAAAATTAAAACATATCTGGTAGGCCGTGCATTTGTATATTCGAGGTAAGGTTGAAAATCTCTCGGTTCGATTGACTTCCCACAATCTAATCAATTGATTTAACATCAGCAATGTCAGGTCGAGACATTTTCAGCATCACGATGTAATCACGCCATCCCCACCTACGCACGCGGACACACACACACACACACACACACACACACACACACACACATATATATATATATATATATATATATATATATATATATATATATATATAAAAAAAAAATGCTGAAACGCTAATATTCCATGGTTATAACTTATTACATTGGAATCGTAATCACGATCCAATTCATCAGACCTACGAATTCAAAAAGCTTTGCTTTTTGAATTTGCAGGTCTGGGTGTTTGAGCCTTTTTTATTATATTCTTACTCTGTCCTGGACATTGGGTTCTACCTGGATTCTATCCTCTTGGGATATATATATATATATATATATATATATATATATATATATATATATATATATATATTCATACATGTTTCATAAAATAATATAGACAAGTTTTGTCTATTTATTTTATGTAAATTCTTTTCATAACGTCTGATAAGCTTAATAACATTATCATTAACTGAAGAAAGACAATCACAATATTGATACATATTATTTAATCCAATCTAAGCTTTCGGCTTACATAAGCCATTATCAAAGATGTCAATTACTGTACAATATATTAAGCAATA